CTCCACAAAAATGTTCACCGCGACCACCATGAGCTACCCCATCAGTAGATCGAGGTCTCCCTTGCCTCCCCCAACTATCTACAATGTATTTACGGTGGCAAATCGGGAAGAAAATGGCTCACTTTGAAGTATAAATGGGTTAGTTTTAAGTTGGAAGAGAGAAGAAAGAAGAACAGAAAGAAGAACACAGAAGAGCCAGGGGATAAGGTCGCGCGAGGGAAGGAGCCGGGCGACCCAAGGCTGGGGACCCCGTCGTCCTCCTTGTGGACGATCATCCTGCAGCAGGACGACTGGGCCCTGTCGTCTGGGCCCCAGCCACCGACAACCCATGCAGGGACGAGTAGGTGCGCTGCGACGTGGCGGGGCCAATCGCCGGCCGCCACGTGGAGTACGGGCCACTTGCCGTCCTCCTATAGGCCGATTGGACTCAGTCGTCCAGCAGTAGGACGAGAGGCTGCAGTCGTCCTCTAGCGGGACAAGGCCGTATTATTTTTAGAAAATAAACTTTCGGTATATTATTTCTGAAAATTAATAATAAAAATGTATTATTTAAAAAAATGGCCTGATAATGATAGGAAGCGAGTAATCAGACATCAAGTATAGTACTAGTAATTCATTGATCGATCAAAGTACAGCAGGTTTTCCGGCTCAAAAAAGTACTGACTAGTTCAGTTGTACAGACGGAGCAAACAAGGTGGCACAAACAGACCGCTTTTACAGCTCTTGTGATGCGCAAGAAAGTCTGACGATGACGACGACGACAGACAAGCTCGCCGGGAGTAGTAGGCGATGTAGACAACACACTGAGATTCAGAGATGGCGACGAACTCACGGCCGTCGTTAGAGTATCTCTAACAGACCCTGCATAACGCGCGAACCCGTATAATTTCGACGAGTATACGGGCTCGGTCTAATTTTCTGGTCAGAACAGAGTCCGTATACTTGCCCGGCCCGTAATTTTTTTTACCGCGGCCCACAAACGTTACCCCAAAGCTGTATAACTACGGGTTTGCGATGCAGATGCGGGTCAAAACCCTATCCCCGCAGCTGCCCGCCGCCGCGTTTTCCCTCGATTCCCCACCGCCCCGCTCGATTTCTCGCCGCCGGCGAGCCTGCGAAAGCCATGGACGGCTATGGTAGCTCCGGGGATGAGGCGGAGCGCCGATGCCGCGCCAGATCTGACGCCGCGTGCAAGCGGGGGGTGCGTTGGTGGCTCAACCGCGGTGGCTGGCCACCGCCGATGTTCGACCGCCGCGAGCTAGACGAGTTCGATCGCGAGCTCGTCCGTCGCCGCCACGCCTCCTCTGGCTCCTGGTCCGCGGGGAGATCATCCGCGGGCGCATCGAGCTCGTGGCTCATTCCGGTGAAGAGGAAGCCGGAGGAGGAGCTCTCGCCTCGCGCCGCCGTGCCGAGGCGTCATCGGACCCGAGGACTACCTCCCCCCGGGGCACGAGGAACTCCTCGAGCGCGTCATCCTCGAGCGGTCGGCGAGGGAGCAGGAGGAGATGGAAGAGCGCATCCGCCGAGAGTTCAAGTATGAGCAGCTCTTCCTCCAGACGGGCGTCGCCGCGTCGCAGGCGCACGCGTCCAAGGAGGCTGACTTGCGACCGATGAAGGCGGAGCAGGCGAAGTTCTACATCGACCTCAACTCCTCCGACTCCGATTGAGCGCCGCCGTTGGCCAGCTACTGCACGAGCTACGGTGAGCTCAATTTTGTGTAGTGGTACGGTAGCGTAGGCCCGTCAAAGAAGGCTCTGGCGTAGTTATATGTAATATGCATGCTGTGTGAAGAAGAACTATCTACGTGAGCGAGCTCTGGCGAGATTTTGCTTAAATTTCTCGTGGAAAACAATTTTTTTAATTTTTACAAGTTAGAGTACAATTTTTGTTTTGCCGCGCTATTTTGAGCCTGCATAAATGCTCCCGTGCGAACTGTAAACGCACAGTTTCACGGAATGAAGGGTCTGCTAGAGTTGCTCTTAAGGCAGCAAGCAGAGAGCAACGCATCACAGCAGTTCCGTTAAAGAAAATTTGAATGCGAGGTTTCCAAAAAAAATGGGTGTGCATGCCATCGAAACGGAGCAGCGGGGGCGAGTTTGATTCCTGCACAGCAACGGCCAACCTCCCCTGTGGAGAATTAACCGCCAAGTTATCTACATTCCGTTTGAAATTGTGTTTTAATAACTGGTTGTGCGATTTCTGCTCCGGTGAGTTCAAGGCTGGGTGCACAAACCTTTTTTTAGAGAGTCTTGGTGAGAGGAGCATGCATCCGCCAGTCGTCATCACGCATTGGGCCCATCCATCAGCCGGTCGTCACCCAGACACACGGGCTGCTTTGTTTGCCTTGGTGCACGTGCCGGTCCGGTCCGGTCAACCACGAGAGTGGAGGCTGCAAACGTGGAGCATATGGCGCAAGGGACGTGGCATGTGATACTCATTCTTTCGTGGACTGGACTGAACCGAACCTCCTTGTGATTAGGCCAGGAAAGGCAGGTTCATCCCACAGGTGAAAGCTAGCGATGCAATCCTATTTCTCGGTTAATTTCTCTTTCAAACACTATACAAGACGCTACACCCATTTCGAAGAACTGAGTAAATTGCAAAAAACCACCACAATTCAGGACTCTAATTCAGAAAACCGCCATCATTCAGGTTTTTTTTCAGAAAACCACCAACATTGTGGTGACAGTTTTCAAAAAACACTAATAACATGATAAGCAATGTTTGATACAGAATCTGACGGATGGGTCCCACGTGTAAGTGATGACATGGACAAAAAATCGAGGCCGTTTTGCCTGGACCGTTAAGTTGGTATATGGCCCATCTGTCAGTATCTCCACTCCTCACTCTCTCGTGCATTTTATCAAGCACCCTGTGCGCACAGCCACGCCTACGCCATGGCCGTCACTACCTCGCCGGCGCGACTCCTCCAGCGCCGGTAGCCAGCGCCGCCACCTTTAGCTCCCCCGCGCGCTTCCCCTCCTCCTCCTCCTCCCATCACCAGCTCCACCCCGCGCTCGCCGCCAGCAGCAGAACGAGCAGCGCGCGCCGGACAACCGGCTGCTGACCAAGCCGCGCGTGCCCGACCGCATCCTCGGCAAGGGAACAAGCACGCCGGCCAGCCGGCTGCGGATCGAACCGTGCGCCGCCACCTCCAGCTCCTCCCCGCGCGCTTGCCCTCTCCTCCCGTTTCCCGCCCCACGCCATGCTCGCCGCCCGCCGCGGACCGGCAAGCTGCAGCAGCAGATACTCCCGACCACGCCGGGCACGCATCCCCCTCTGGTCTAGCCCTGGCCCCACGCTCGCTTCCCTTTGCTCTGTGGCGGCAGCGAGTTCCGGGCGCATCTGAAGCTGGTCGGTGGCTGCCTGCGGGAGGCGAGTCGGGCACGGCGAAGGCGGAGCTCGCCGGGACGCGGCGCTGCGAGGTAGGCCTGCCGGTGGCCAACTAGCATGCGAGGCGACGGGCGGCAGTGCTTCGAGGCAGGCCTGCCGGCGGCCGACTAGGGCGCTGGGGGCGGCCGGTGCGGGCGCGGGCTCGCTGGGCACGGCGATGGACCTTTTTTAAGAACGATGGATGCGAACTGGTCAAACCTAACAAAGTTAGCGCTGTTAGTACATGCGTGACGGGCGGCGTCTTCACCCTCGCCACGTGGCACATTATACTGGGACCCATCCGTCAGATTTTGCATCAAGCTGCTATAATCAGTCAATTAGCATTTTTTGAAAACTGTCACCGCAATATTGGTGGTTTTTTGAAAAAAACTGAATGATGGTGGTTTTCTGAATTAGGGTCCCCAATTGTGATGATTTTTTGCAATTTACTCCGAGGAACTGAACCGTCATATCATCTTAGAGCATCTACAACCGAACCTCTCAAACCCGTCTTAAACGTCTGGACAGGCCGCCTGGTCACTGTCTGGTCACGATTTTTTGACTCAGACGGGCCTCTTAAACGGCTCGCAAACGCTCGGGCAGAGCGCCCCCCCCCCCCCAATCCAGCCTAAATATCCGCGGAAACAGTTTGAGATGTTCGGATGCAAGAAGTGAAATTTAAAGCGTGCCCGAACACTATCCACGGACGCACCCGGGCGCGTCCGCGGACGTTTGAGGGGCCATATTTGTAATATGTGGTCAACCAGGACGTCTTCTCCTGTTGAATGCACATCACCAAAAGAAATGAAATAAATCAAAAAATGGAAACACCAATGTCAAGTTTATAACTTAAACGTTGATGTACTGAACATATCACTATACACCTAACCATCCAACTATCGGTTGGTTCACTATTTCTCGGTTAATTGCTCGTAACAATAACCATTCCTCTGTTTTGAAATATAATATGGGCGAATTTTGCTTCATTAAAAATAATTTTAATCAATAATTACCAGATTGCTGATTTGTATTTTCTGTGATATATTATCAAGTGGCGTATGAGGTGAGCAATCAAAACTTTAGTTTAAATAAAATAAAATAAAGAACCCTTCAGAAAGAAACTTATATAAAGAAATGCGATGATCTACTGAAGTGAATTTTAATATCGGTTCTCAGCACAGCAGAAGCTTCTCCAGCACCAGCAGATTATTATAATTCATTACTCTCTGCGGTCCTTTTTACTCTATATATAAGAATTGTCTGAAGTCAAACTTCACAAAGTTTGATCATATTTATAAGAAAAAATATCAGTATCTACTATGCTAAAGTTATACAATATGAAACTTTAAGTCATGACGCATCTACTGGTATTGATTTCACATTGTGAATGTTGATATTCTTTTCTATAAAGTTGGTCAAAGTTTACTAGGCTTGACTTCAGACAAATCTTATATGCGAACTGAAAAGGACCGGAAGGAGTACATTATAGTACACGAACGGTACCTGCAAGGCTGCAAACATACTCCTGCATGCACACAGCAGGTTCGGTACGTCCATGTACAAAAATATCACTAAGCTTGCTAGTAACAAAGCCAGTTTTATACAGTACTCTATCATCACTAAGCTTGCTAGCACTCGTCGGCCCATGCCAAGCAGTCGTGGTGCAGCTGAGCCAGCGTCCGCTGCTCCACGCTGCTGCCAGCGCCACTCCTGCCCTTCGTCGCCTCCACCGCCATTGCCGCGCCCCGGTCCGCACCGCCGTTGCCGCCAGAATGCCCATGGACAGGCGGGGGAGCCTCGGCGCCGGTGAGCTGCTGCACGACGGCGCGGAACTGGTCGGGGTGGACGAGGTACACCGCCGTGGCCGACCGGTCCCGGTGCCTCCAGTGCGGCCTCCTCGGCGCCTCCGCCGCGCCGCCGCCACAGCCGTTCCCGACCTTCGCGTTGTTGCTGTTATTGCCGTTGCCGTTGCTCTCCATTGGTTGCTAGCTTGAGCTTGACTGGTCGAGGTAAGGAAAGAGGCGGCGAAAGGAGGCCGGAGGGAGAGGATGGGTGGATGGATGATGATGGTGGATTAGTCGTGGACGCGGCCGGCGGGTTTTTATACTCGGTCAAGCGCGTGGAAAAGCGTAAACGATTAAGTATTCGTGCCGAGCACGGCGAGCGGCGCGCAGGTAGGACTGACGACTACCTGGCGAGGTGGACGGGTGGTCAGCATGCCACCTTGTGGAAAAAGCAGACTATGCTCGTACAGGACGAGCTGCTGATGCCTCCGCCTGCGTCACTGTCGAACCTTCTTGCTAGCGGAAATGCTTCCCTGAGGACGAATTGCTGGTGCCTACATGTGCGTCACTATCGCCTCACTGGCTCACGTTGTTAAATGTTAATTCTTCAAAATCCCGGGCCTCTCGCCTTAGGTCACACGCGTAAATACGCGTACGGTGGATCAGGAACATGTGCAGCGATGTAAAAAAGGAACATGTGCTAACTCCCTCAAGCTTAGCTAATTTAATAGTGTCATCTGCACGCCCTCGTTGACGCCATCATTAGATCTCATTTTAATTATCTGGTGGTGCATTTAGCGATGTCGGAGGATATGTGGAGGTGTGTCTCCGGCGAAGTTCGCCTGATTCGATGGGTGGTTCTCTTTGGTGGCGGATTTGCTCGGATCCGGTATTCGTTCGTATATACGTGTGTCTTCAGGTTGGATTGCGGTTGTTGTTATGATGCACTGGTGCTATGGGCCTTTGTCACAACCAAATTTTTTGGTTACAGGTCGAAATTTCAAGATTTTCTATGATTACCGCGTATTTTCGTGCCCCTCAGTAAATCGTCATATCAAACAAAAAAATACCATTTTTTTAAATTTTTGAATTTAAACACTCGATTGATAGTAAAGTACGTAGGATCTAATTAATGCCATGAGAGTTGGTTCTGGCGTGTTGGTAGCAACCTAGTTCCTATTCTGAGAGGTCTTTGGTTCGAATATTCGTTCATTCACTTATTTGAATTTAAAATTCAACTATAAAATTCGCACGAAATATTCTCGGTATTTCTCGATAACCATGATAACCACATTTATCAGTGCCCTCGGTAAAATTGCCTCATTCGGTAACCAAAACCTTGGTCACAACGACATTCTGATTGTCTATTGTTTGACATGAAAAAGAAAAGACGATGCTCTCATACAAAAGGATAGGAGGGGGTTTCGTATAGGCGTCTCCCTTGACCCGGGGTACAAAGTGTTGCGGGCGTGCCAGTGTACATAGTACACAAATGCAAAGAAGAAGAAAGGAAAAAAGATGAGGCCTGTTGGCGCGGCCAAGGGATCAAGCGATCATGGTCTCCTGGTTCCCGAGGGCCTCAGAAAGCCCCCGGTAAATTACTCCCGCGGATAGTACCGCGGGACACCTCTAATTAAGTTGTGCAGTCGTTGTCTTCGGTCTTCACTTCGCGTTCCTCATGCATGGTGGTGGTGTGTGTATGGCGGCGGCAGAGTCCGTGTATTGAGTCGTACACGCGCCGTCGAAAACGTGGCCTTTGCTCTGGCCACGCTCGCCTACGCCGTCTTGCCTCGTCGGCCTTGAGCGGCGTCGGTGTGGTTGTTGAAGTAGCCACTAGTGCAGAACCGGGTTTTAGCGTCGGTTCGTAAGGGCCTTTAGTGTCGGTTCCACAGTGAGGACTAAAGGTCCCCTCTTTAGTACCGGTTCATCACGAACCGGCACTAAAGTGCCACCACGTGGCACGAGCCAGGCCCGGGTGTGTGTATGACATTAGTACCGGTTGGTAACACCAACCGGCACTAAATGTTTGGGTAGTTTTGGTTTTATTTTTTATTTTTTCATTAATTTTGTGTTTTTCATTTAATTCTTTTTTGTTTGTTGGTATTTTATGATACTACGTATTGTACACATTATGCATATATATAAATAGATTTTCTCGTAGAACTGATCGTGTATATATATATACACACACACACACACAATTTCTCCTATATGTTGCCTTGGTGTCTTTGGAGCACGATAACAAGTGGTTCATGGGGTGGTAGCTGGTAATAGTATTCTCCTTTGGGATCTATGACCTGGTCGAGCAAAAATTCCGCTATTTCCTTTTGAAGTGCTAGTATGCGCTCCGTTGTTAGGAGCTTCTCCCGCACCTCTTTGAACTGTTAAGAAAGAGATCAATATGCATGTGTATTAGTTGTGTGACTACATATCGATAATGATGTAAATATTGTAAATAGTAGTCTGGCAAACGTACCCATTCCTGTCTTTGAGATTTGCTCCTTTCAGACGCCATCATGCGAATGTTCTCGCAAACATAGTATGCACACGGATTATTCCCCGGAGCCTGCCTCAGGGCCTTTACAAGAATGTAATTTAATCAGATAATAATTAATCAAGCATGATAATTAATTAATGGTATTGAAACAAGAATTAAAGAGATGGTAAGCTAGCTAGTAATACTTAATTACTTACCTTGGGTCGATACCAATGCAGCTTTTGTCGCCATTTGCCTGGAGTCACCTTGATAAACTTTGCCCAAGCCCTGCCCGGCAGCAAAGAAAATGAATAAAGGGGTTATTAATAATGATATCTGAAAATGACGACCTAATTAAATAGGCTGGGATATAGTTAATAATGATTGAAATTACCTGCCGACTATCCCCTTCACGATGGCGAAGTCACTTTCTGCCTTAAGTAGTGAGTCCAGTACTTCAACTGTTCCTTTATCAACTTTAATGATTAACAAGATCCAGTGGAAACTACATGCGCACACGTTTGCATGTCTTAATTAAGCGGGCATCTGCACAACACTAATCAACTAGCCTAAACCATATACACTTAATTATTAACATCTAGCTAGCTAGTAAGCAAAAACAGAATTTGTAGTACAAGACAGTGTGACTCACAGGAAGTTGTAAGGAAGTAGTATATCTTCATTGCTATTGAGGCGCTTGAAAAACTCTAGCATGCTTTCCTCTAAACTTGCTCGACAACTTGGATATTTCATGTGTACTCATTAACGGTATTAGGGTCAATGAACCCAATGCCATAGCGTATAGATTTTTTCATTTCATACTTCTTCATCCTGCATAATACCATAGAAAAGAATATAGTAAGGATAATTACAGGTAATGATTGATCAAAATGATCACTACAGCTAGCTTGAGACTTAAATTACAGAGAGAAATCGCTTACAGACAATAGCAACTGACGAGAGATTTGTCGAGTGCGTCTTGATTGTATAACTAAAATAGTTTTGAATACTCAACGGACAGAGCTTTCTCATTGTAGTAATGCTTCTCATTGACATTCATCATGAGGGACGCTCGATTGGAAATCTTGGTAATGTTCATGTACCACTGATGCAATTCATACATTCTCGTTGGAAGGTTCTTGACCTCCTCTGGCTTGACCAAAGGTTGGCTGCGGCCATATTGCCGTTTTATTTCCTCCTCTCTAAGAGGAGACATGGGCTCGATGTCGAGGAGTTGTCCAACACTGATACCGAGCATTTGAGCCTGGCTTCTATGCTCCTCGGTTATTACTAGATTGTTCAGCTGGGGAACGGTTTGCCCACAATAATATACGGCGTGCGTACTCTCATGTGTTGTTGGCACAACAAGCAGAGGGGTCGATTGCGCCGCCTATTCTACCAGCTGGGGAACGCTTTTCCCACATTTTTTGGCAGCTGCTTGTTGGCTCGAGCTCAAGCTCGCTTCCCTCTGTAGTCGTGCTCGATGTGCCTTCCTGAGTTGGCGCTCATAGTCAGAGTCAACAGGCTTGGAAGCTGGTTCTCTAGCCATACGAATGAAGTGGTCAATCTTTTCCTCAGGCACTTTCTTCCTTGGCGGCGGTGCCGGTTTCGGTCCAAAATGGGCGTCCACTTGGGCCTTCACTATGGCTTTGTTTTGCTCCTCGGTCATGTAGTAAGGCCTCTGAGGAAGAGGAGCGAGGCTGCTTGGACCATATTTATATTGCTTGCCTCCGTCTGTACCTCCTGTACTACCTCGACTCGTACCGCTACGCACCATAGTTGCGGCGTGTCTCTTCTGTGATTGCTGAGGCGACGGAGACAGCTGACGTGGCTGAGTTCGAGCAGGAGTCTGCTCACGCATTGGTGGACTTGGAGGAGCGGGAGTCTGCTGACACGGTGGCGGACTTCGAGGAGGAGTCGGCTCAAGCGTTCGTGGACTTGGAGGAGCGGGAGTCTGCAGACACGATGGCGGACTTGGAGGAGGAGTCTGCTCAGGCGTTCATGGACTTGGAGGAGCGGGAATCTGCTGACACGGTGGCGGACTTCGAGGAGGAGTCGGCAGACGCGGTGTCGGTGGACTTCAAAAGATGATGCAATCCTTTCTCCATAGGATGATACGATGTATGGCCTCTCCCAGTGTGTGCTCGTCGTCACCTCTAGGAATGTCAAGCTGTAGCCCCGAATATGGGTCCACCACCTCATCAACCAAGACACGAGTATAGCCCGCTGGAATTGGGCGCAATGGAAGGTTGCTTCGGGGGTAATTGTAAAAGCAATGGCGTCCGCCACCTTCATGGATATGTTCTTCATTTTGAAGTGTAGCTCACAGTTAGTGTTCTCTATGATGTCATCCACAGGGTATGTATCCAGCAGCGCGTCGCCCGGGGCGGAACCAACGCTGCTTCTCGGCATGGATGAGACGGTGCTATCCAATACTGGACGATCATCCGCTTGCTGCTGCCGCTGCTGAGACCCCCTTTCCTAGCTAAGTGAGTCGATCTGCTGCTGCTGCTGGAATTTGAGTGCCAAGTCCGCGTGCCTTGCTTCTAGGCCTTGAAGGCGTTCTGCGTCCTGCTTCCTCTGCTCCTCCTCCAGCTTCCTTTTCTTCTCCTCCTTCCTTTTCTTTCTTGCACGGGTCCTGTAGTCGTCGTTCCATTCTGAAAAGCCCTCATACCAGGGAATAACGCCCTTGCCACGTGTTCTTCCCGGGTGTTTAGGA